ACACACACACAAACACATACACAACAGTTTCTCACCTATTCAAAGACTCTGCAGACACATTATTTACACAAAGTGATGCAGGGAGGTAAAGAGCAGCGCAAGACTTTTACAGCCTGTCAATGCAAAGCTCATCTCAATGCCCTGTATTATGTCATCATCATAGCTGAGCACCGCCGCTGAATGGACCTCTTTCACTCTGGCTGACGGGCATGTCTCTGATATGAGCTGTTTCTCTATTTTGTGTGTGTGGGATCAGACAACACCCTCACACTGACATTCCAGTGTGAGCACTCAGCATTATACCGTGAAACATAAATAGATAAGTATTTGTCAGCTAAATGCCTGCAGTGTAAATGTAAATTCATTCAAATGGCTTCGATGTGTGGGCTTCTTACTCACAGTGATGGACACACAGGTACGATCAGATTATGACCCAAACAGGCCTGTGCTGTAATGTTGTCCAGGCTGAATAACCATATGAGGTGATCAGTTCACTACAGGGCGCTAATCTACGGAAATGAAATGTATACCCAGCAGTGTTGAGTGTGTTCGGTGCCATCACAATAAAGATAACCTACACTGAGGATTATTTGCATATCAGTAGTGGCAATACTGCACATAGTCAGCTTGATGTTTCTATCTATGGAGCTGTAGTGCAATACAACCAAATTTAACCACCGGTGCTTAATCCCACAGACCACAAAGAGTTCAAACATGAATTCAGAGTTAAACTTATGCATACACTATATCATAACTGGCTCTCTTGGTGGAGTAAAAGACAGCAACAAGCTACATACATCAAGACACATTTTAGAGAAGCTTCATGTTGGAGACTTACTTACATGTTCCTCCATCCATCCATCCCACCGTCTCTCTGTGCATCCGTCTTCACAAAGCATGTTTATCCATGTTCACAGCCGCTCCACGCACACACACACACACAAACACCTTTCTGGCTTCAAGTCATCCTCCCAGGCTGCAGGTGTGAAGGCAAAACAGAGCAGAATGATCAGAAGCGTCCAGACAAGCTCAACAGACTGTCAGACGCGCTCTCCTCCTTTTCTCTTCTCCTCTTCCTTTCTCTCTTCCCTCCTACTCGCTTTTACATTTTACACTCCCACTCTACTTAGTCAGTCAGTCCTGTTAACCTTTCTCAGACAGATTTGATGTCTCTCCCTCAACTCTTACTTTCTCTCTCTCTCTCTCTCTCGCTCTCTCTCTCTCTCTCCCTTTCTCTCAATCTCTCACATCTGAACTTGTTCACCCTGTGTTTGCTGCTGAGTAGCACTCTCAGCCTCTCTTCCATTTGTAATCACCCTCCTCTTCCTCTCTCCATATTCCACTCTCTCCCCTCGCTCCGTAGCTCTCTGTTGTTTGGTGTATAATTAGAAATGAGACTGCTGTGCAACTCCTCAGCTGATGGTAGGCGTATGACTGCCTGATGGCTTTGGCGCTTTGCCTGGTGTAGTGAGGGCGGGAAAATGTTGCGTTAGACTAGCCTGCACTCACACACAAGCAGAAACAGAAATCTTGCTATCGCAGCTGCAGTCTGATAGCAGATAGCCCTTGCTTGTTGTTCATTCTTCATGCTGTTTCTCACTTCCTGCTTTTCTCGCCTCAATGGGAAGATGTGGACTAATAATGATGTTTCGTCCTGAATGAGCCAAAACCGTGCGAATGCTTTGAAATGGCCAGTAATTGCTTTTGAGCAAAGTGTTCAAAGGTCAGCATTAAATACTAAAGCCAATCCCCTGCAGAAAAAGAAGGTCCTTTCATGGTTGTGCAGACAGCATAAACGATGTCCCCTCACCCTCACCCACGCCCTGCTGCCTGCTCGCTTTGTATATACTTTTCCTCACTTTTCTTCGTGCTTGCTTTCTTGCCTCCCCCTTTCATCTCATTTTAAAACACAAGAAAAAGGACTTGGCTTTTACTTCACAGCTGCCTCAGCAGCACAGCAGCCCAGGTCGCAGCTATTGATTTTGCACGGCCTCAGCAGGTGAACCCCCAGTCATGAGAAAGCCCACACAGAATTTAGTTTGAGGTGAAGAGGATTTCTCACTTTGAGTCACATCATGCTTCCTCTGCCCACTCTCTCTCTCTCTCCCTCTTTCACACACACACACACACACACACACACACACACACACAATGGCACACATAAACTATAAATA